AAATACCCTTGAAGAATTCTTTTCGCCGAAGGGAGCTCCCCTAGACAAAAAGAGAATTTCTCCCCCTCGCAATTAAAGTATTTATTACCCGACAACGATGGTTAAAAAAAAAAAAAGAAAAAGAAAAAGAAAAAGGAAACGAAATACGCGACGGATGACGCGTTGAGATAGCTTGCGGCTTACAACTTTTTCCCATCGACGTCGATTTTTAAATGAGAAACCACCGTAAAGATTCTTCGTGAATTTTATGCGCGTTTTAAGGGAAAACGAATCGTCTATTAGACAAACATTACCGAATCTTTAACGCGATAAAAAGGAAATTAATTTCAATGTCGCTTTGCATTTCTTAATTTTAACGAGTATAATTTTTAATATCTGTATATTGTGATTGACAATTACAAGTACATTTTTTATATATTTTCAGTAACCGTGAGAATATAATTTAATGATTTATATTCTTTTGATATCTACTCTTGTATATTATTAATCTTACTTTTTACGAGTTTAAGTGTACTATAATTTAAGATTTCTTCGATTTTTAATTTCGAATTTTCAGGAACAGGTTTAACGTTTTAGCCGTGCGTAAGAAGCACTTTGAGAAAACTATAGCGCGAGGTAATGTACAAGTAACCGAGTTTCCATTCACAGTGATCGATCAAAGTCCGGGACGCCAAACACGCTCGAACACCCCGACGCTTCTTGGCTTGGCTTTTAGTGTTTCGTATACATTATGATGATAATATATCGCTCCATTTACGTCCGATATCATGCTCGTAATCCGCTCGATTCAATATCCAAAAAAAGTATTCACAACAGGCTTTATCAATCAATATAATACCGATATTACTTCATTAATCATACGTTTACCTATAAGAATTTCTCGCACGAGAGAACGCACAAAATTTCCTTTACCATCTCTCCGTCTCGGTTTATTTCAATACCGCCACGATATCGATTCGAATATCGTTTCTGGCGGAAATTCTTTTCGCAGACGATACAAATCACGTGTCGACACCTGTCCACGTTACTTCCTGTAATATTATGGATCCATGCAACGAGTGTTATTCACTCGCTCGCGTTGATACTCCCTCTCTCTCTCTCTCTCTCTCTCTCGACGTGTGTTCAATGATTTTATTATACGCGATATAATCGAATAAATTTGGCCATTGTCGATCAACGTTTTTGCAAGCATCGTCGAATAATTTACGCCGATGACGCAAGGGATGGGTAAAAGAGGTGGAGGGGGGAAGGGGAGGGTTGAAAATCGACGACGTCAACAGCGGTGTTACAATTGAAATTTTATATTTTTTTGCTCATCTGCACCCGAGCGTCCTCGACTTGAACGCGTTTCAACGTGGAAATCTTTTGGGAATCTGTTATTCGCAGGAGGCGAATCCGGCGTTGCGTTTGATTTACATTGGTCGGAAATTCCCTGCTCGATGATTGTTGGCTACGTGTCACCCGCACTGCGCGTGAATAATAATTGTGTATTAACGAATAAACTGGAGTACATTTGTTTCCAGCGACATTATTAAAATATATAATTGGGGAGGGGGAAGAGATGATTGCTTCGAATTTATGGAAAAATTGTATAAATTTTATATATAAAAAATATATATGTATTTTTTATTATAAAAAAATGTTTATAATAATTTTGTCCAAAAGAAGAAAGAATATGTTTGTTAATAGCAAATTGATTTTTGTATTTTGTTTAATAATAAAAATGAATAAATAATCTTCTATCCATAGAAAAACGAAAGCTTTTATTCTTCTATATTTTTCGTTCGAACCAACGAAGTCTCTTTCTCTTGCATGGACAACGCACCTTCTTTCTTTGCTTTTCCTCTTCCTTCTCTAATTTTTTAACAATTTCCGGCTTACCCAAAGTGACATTGAACGATTTCTTCAGAAGAGGGGATGAAAGGTAGGGCGGCAGCTATAAACGAACGAGATCTCAATTAAACTAACCCCCTTTTCTATTACTCCTTTCAAATTAAATTACGTTCGAATCAAAGAAAGAAAAGAAAAATAGCGAACAATTAACAAAATATAAATTCTACGAATCATCAATTATTATTTAACCACATATTGATCCTTTTCTTCCCTTTCTTTCGTCCATCCATAGATGGATGGAGAAACCATGTTATTATGTACCATATTGCAATACAGAATATAAGAGTCGAAATATACATCTCTCCATAGCTCGAAAGAAAACGCGGCCACGATACAATTCCAAACTTCACATTCACGAAACTTCCATTCCCTCGACACATTCATCTCGCGAGCGGGTCCGCGCGAAAGACGTCCAACGTATGAAAAAGAAGGACTTCCGTTTCAATTCGGGGCTATTTACGAAGCCGTGGGTCGGCTCCACGTGGAACCACGTCGGACAGAGGTAATACAGACAGACGCCGGGCCCATCTAACCATCTCTCGTAACGCGGGGCTCATACATCACCATCTGAAGTATCCGGTATTATTCCCGCTCGCGCACCGAGCACGCAATATCCTGGCTCGTGACAACAAAGTAAATACCGTATATACGTGAACCGACAGGACGGAATAGAAATTTCGACGTGAAAATACGCGAGCCATCCGCCGTTTCCCTCTCGGTTTCGATCCTCGTTGTTGCGGGCACAGTTTGTCCCGTGAAAACTGCAAATATCGTTTCTCACCACGCGTTACGTTAATTCGACGTAATGTTGAAACAGCTTGTGCGCATGTGCGTGTAAAATACTTACGGTGTAGTAAGCAGGTCCCAGTAGAGGCGTATACTTTTCGATCTTCGACGATCTCTCGATCACACCGCCCTTCGCGTTCTTCAGTATATCCTTGGACAAATGATAGGAGGCTGGATCTGGTAAATTCGATTTCGATGATTAAGAGGGATCCGGTTTTTCTAGGATTAAGGTGTACCTGGCGTTTTCTTCGTGTCGAACCATATCTTTGATGATCGTGTATCGCGTGTACCGAAGGGGACGTGTAACGTGGGGAATTCGCATTTGTCGCGATTTCTTTTGAATGCTTTCAAGGTCTCGTAAATACCGGCATCTGGGCCTCTCTATAATAAACGATACAGGTTTTTACAATTTCAAGAGAAGGATGTAAGAGTAATTCAGAATAATTCGTATCGGAAGATAAATAAGTGTCATCCAGATGTAATCGTCTGGGATAATGGAAAAGGGAGGTAACCTTGATAAAGGTTACCATTTCTTCTTCTTCCTTCCTTCCATTCCTTATTCTTCCCTGTAATCGATTAGACTCGAGCCACGAAGCATAAATCCATTTCCTTCCAGTTATTTGATCAGTGTTCGTCAATTAAGCTTCGACAGTCTTGCCCGATAATTCTATCTTTTCCAACGAGATCTCTCTCGAGAATTCAGGAATGAATACTAAACGTCGATACTTGTGACGATACGCGTTTCGAGGGTGGATAGACATATAGACCGGTGCCCAGAGATTGGCTCGAATTTCCGGCTCAGCGAGCCGGAAGTGATTTCTCCTGGCTTTCGTCGGCCACGCGCCTCTACGTGGAAATGACCCCGAGAGCATGGCAGAACGTCATTTCCGTCCGCTGTCGAGTCGCGACGCGACTCCCTACGTTATGTAAATACCGTCCTCTCCCCGAATCTCTCATAGTACCCCGCCTCATCCCCTCTCAGAGACGACGTCCTTATCCGGCGATCGTAAGAATTCGCCATGACACTTTCCTCCTGCGTTTTATCGCCCTGTCGCGATAATTCCGCGCGACAAAGCGGGATATAACTTCTGCTCCGTATAAAACATATTATCCATTCAAATTGAAGCAACCTTCGTCGAAATTGACGAATTGGATCCATCACCAACAGTGTCACTACTTTATAATAATAATTTGATGGAGAATTTACGTGTTTGAATATGTACATCAAATTAACTTTTAAACGATATTTTTATATCGTTTATGTATGTAACATTGTATGTAATAAAATAAAATAAAAAAGAAAAATGGATAAAATAATTATTCTTACATCGATCAAATTTTTGATACTTCTTACATTAGTTACGAGAAATATATATTACTAGTTTTGGAATAAATATTAATAATATGATATTGATCTCTCTCGAAAATAAAAGAATTATAGGATATTCAAAAGTATAATTTGAATTTGGTTTTTAATTGGAAAGCGTGTGAACGAAACGACTTATCGTATTGCGTGAAAAACGACGTTTAATGAAATTTCTCGAATGTCCAGCTGTCAAACGGGAACTTGGCTTGGCTCAAAAGGCGACTCTCACACAAGGATTCCACCTTTCAACTCCGAGGAACGCGGTTCCTGGCCAACCTCAAAGGAGACACGGCTGTGACAGAGGCAGCGACACGCGTCGTTGTTCCGCGCCGTCCTTATCCCGGCCTTATCTGCGGCTACACTGTCGAACCCGCTTCGACGATCTCTCGATTAACGAGCAAATTGGATCCTGGTTCCCGAAACGCCCCGGGTACAGATGCATCGCTTCGATCCACCTCCATTAATTTCGTCTCGACCTCCTCCTGATTACCTCGCGCTTCCAGGATTACCTGGACCATGGCTTAGGTCCACAGATTTCTCGCCTCGAATGAAAGAATCCGACCTGACCGCAGACTTATTGTTACTACTCGGGATACGATCTCATTAAAGAAATTGCTGTTCCTCGTTTAACATTTTCAATCTCGATTTCCTTTCCTTACTGACTCAGCAGAGGTAGATTCTCGTCTCTTTTTCTTTTTGAATGGAAAGGGTCAGAGAGAAAATTAGAAAAATTATCAGCTTTTTCTTCTCTTTTCCTATTTTCCTTGAAAATAGTTTTACGAAATAGGATGTCGATTTCGTAAAAATTATTGTAAAAATTATTGAGTAACGAGTTCAAAAGGATCGATTTATAAGTTTGTGAAGCTGAATTGTACAAGTGCTGACATCTGTGCGTGGCAGTGGCAGTCAACTAGTGGAAATTATACGCTCGGTTCAATAACGGTATGGTATGTATCTACAGAGCAGTTTTCTGATTATCGATGAATAATTTTAATATTATCTAATTTTATTTCCCGATTTCTTTATATGGATTTACCTTTTGAACTTCGGGGAACCTTTCTACTTTAGATTTAAAAGCAACGTGATGTACAAGAGTCTTCGTTTCTTCTATTCTTTTTGGAGAACGCGGGGTATAGTATTCTTCTTCTTCTTCTTCTTCTTCGCAATAAGAAATTGCATCCAAGTATACCTGTGGTTTCATTTTTTTTGCGTAGGTGTATTTGTAACGCTTCTCCGACTCAAAAGCTAAATTACCGGCATTCAAATTGTAATCACTAGGTCCTGAAGAGGAAATGAACGACTCTCTTGGTAAGATACCAACAAGTATATTCGATTGAAAAATCAGAAACGTAACAGAATTAATTAAATTGATGAAAGAAGATATTAAAAAGATAAGAAAAGATCTTACCTGGTCCAAAGTGCGTAGGATCTTTTTTAAAACGACTAGCATAAGAACCGAATGGCGCAGGAAAAATGGAAGCTGTACACTTTACAGAATCAATGGGACTGTATGTACCTGGGCCAGGTATGTCAGAATCTATATCAAGGAATCTCTGTAACAGATATCTAGCGATGATAAATTGTTCTGAAAAATTATTTTAAACAATTATACCTTGGCACTTTGATTGAAAGGAGCTGGTTCAACGACATAAGTATCGCATTTGCATCTGTTCTTAGAATATTTGTCAAAAACACTCTTTATCTTGTAAGCATTTGGTGCTGGCAAATTCTATATGCAAAGATTCACTCTCAACATCAACATTAATTAGCAACAAACTCGTGGATTGTATTTCAAAATTATTTCTCTTCAATGTAAAGTCACCTCGCGCATTTTTACTCTATACAGTATATCGAGGCTACGTGGCTGCCAGGAAGTCATTCTTTTCATTTCTCTTATCTTCTCGTCGTATATTTGACTGGCTGTCTTCTTCGTTTCGTATTCGTAATGTCCAGGGCCCGGAGTTATAAAAGGTTGAGGCTCTGTTCTTCCTGTCATTCTGCTCCAAAAATTACCTTTGTACAGTAACGTGGTAGCATTTGTTTCCTGAAAATTTGATCGAACATTTGAGAATATTATAAAACGTGACGATATTAAAAATTTTTTAAATGAGAGAATAATCGCTTTACTCCTCGATGGATATTGTAAAAGTAAGTTGGCTTTTTCTTTAGAGGGGGATTTTTCACGAAAACACCGAATTCATTAATGTCATATCCTGTATAATCTTTGTCTGGAATCGATGTGGCCGTTGGAATAATCGAAGGAGGGGGTCGAGTTAGCCATAACTGTGATTCGTCATCAAATTTTGAATGAATAATAATTTAATAATATTACTCTTTAATTAATTTAATCGAGAAGATTAGATAGATATTACTTTTCCAGGAGGACCTCTCCATGTGCCAGGATGAGATCTTATTTTTCGTTTAAACAAAGTCCCAGAAATGTCATAAATTGGACCTGGTGCTCGAGGTATCTCTTCCTTAAATCGAATATCCCTAAAATCAATGCTGACTCCACCCTGTAATTTTTTAATTTTTTCACTACATCTAGATTTCTCTGGATCCAATTTTGAAAATTTTAATTTTTATAAACTACGTTCTGGTATATGTTGTCGGGGTCTTAAAGTGTACGAATCCGGTCCTGGTAATTCTGCAATCTCTTTCGGCACGTGAATAGTTTTTCTTTCAGTTCCACATAGAAAGGGCGTATACTCGGCTATACAAAGAATTTCATTTTATATTTTATATAATTTTTATTTTACGTATTCTTAAAACGTTATCTTGCAGGTTATTTAATTTCGTACCAAGATGCCTATCAGGACAAGTAACATCCGATATTTCGTACGTTCCAGGTCCAACTTTAACTGACGTTTGTGTGATTATTTTTGGAAATCTTATTGTCCTATCGTACGCCATTATCTTATTTTAAATAAGATAATTATTATCCCAATTGTGATGATCAAATAATTTAAACACGTATAGAAAACGTATATGAACTATGTTGAAAATCGAAAATGAGTTACAATCGATTGTTCCACTTTACATCGACAAAAAAAATTCATATAATAATGAATGCACTCCACGAGTTTACAGGGACCAATTGCTTTCGCTAATGAATCATCTCGGTGCAAGAAAAATTATTTGTTTGCAATAATTGTAACAGGCTGGGTATTCGCGCCTGAAGGACGCCGTTTTCACTTCTTTAACCTACTTTTTTATAATGTTCGCCTTGCATAAATTTTCGGCCGGGCCAGTTAATAATTTCGTTCTCGTTACGCGAAACCCATTAACGTTTTGACGCCGAAGTAAGAGATTATCGTTTGCATCAAATTGAAAACGATTCGCGGGCGCGTAAGGAAAGTGAAGGGTTCTACGACGAACAACTTGAGTGTTTTGCAAGTGATATCTCTTTTATTGCATCATTCGTGGAATGTTGCGTATCAGCAATCGTAAAGAATTATCATTCCCTTCTGAACTTGGACGTTTTCTTGAAATTTGTGACCTTTCCGAATAAATATTAGGTTTATTAACTTGTTTCATTTCGCTTGGATAAATTATATTTGGCTCGATCCAGCTTTTTAGGATAATAAAAATTTTTTCTCCAATCTTTTAAATTTCAGGAATAAATTTTATGAAAATGGAATTATGCGTAAATCATTGGAACATGTATATCCCTTAGTGCTTACGTTTAACGTGAGATGGCACAACGTGCACCGCTTAAAATCATGTTTGGTCGATAATTCGAGAGGTTTCTGATTTGAAACGTGGTGTGGCAATAAAGTGCGCTGGTTTCAACGTCAGTGGAGAATATTTTCTGTGATTTATTCGTGTATTGCAGTAAATTTTCTCGTAAATTCGGAAAATAATGTCGAAAAACGAAGAGAAATTCGACGGAATGCTGTTGGCTATGGCCCAGCAACACGAAGGCGGCGTACAAGAGGTGAGTATAGTTTCGTAGCCGGTTTAGGTTAGGGTCCACTTTGAGTAAGATTGTTAATTTTACGAATAATTCGAAAACTATTAACGATATATGGTTTATTTTACAGCTACTCGATACAATCTTCAGTTTCCTCGCGCGAAAAACGGATTTTTACACGGGAGGAGGTGAAGGAGCTGCAGAAAAGGTAATTATTCTTTGCATGAATTTGAGTAATATAAATGGTTTCATTACTTTTCGTGGACGTAATTCATACGTTACTAATCGTGGATTGCAGCTCATATTACATTATTTATATTTTATTTTAGCTTGTCACTAGTAAGTTTAAGAAACATGAAGCTACAGCTCTTGCCAAAGCTGCCAGTGAAAAAGCTGAACGTGCAGAACAAGAGAAACGTCGTAAAGAGAGATTGGAAAAGAAAAAAAGAGAAGAAAAAGCTGAAGAGGATAAATTCAATTCAGAATCAAAGATTGTTGAGCTAACCGATGAACAAGCTGCGAAATTACAAGAAGAAATAGATAGTAAAGTACG